CAGGCAGGCAGATACTATGGCAGACAGGTGGTCCCTCAAGGAACCAGGCCCTGTGCCATGGAGGGCTTTATAGGTAACAACCAGCACCTTGAATTGCACCTGGAAGCAAACTGGCAACCAGTGCAGCTTGCAAAGCAGAGGTGTTACATGGGCACACCAAGGCATGCCCATCACTGCCCATGCCGCTGTATTCTGGATCAGTTGAAGCTGCTGGGTGGTCTTCAAGGGCAGCCCCACGTAGAGCACATTTCAGTAATCAACCCGTGAGGTAACCAAGGCCCGCGATCTAGCAAAAGGCACAACTGGCACATTAGATGAAGTTGGGCAAAAGCCTTTCTGGCCATAGCTGCCACCTGCTCATTGAACAGGAGCTGTGAGTCCAGGAGGACCCCCAAGCTGCGCACCATCCTTGAATGGGGAAGTCCAACCTCATCCAAGGTCAAAGTTTGAATATCCCCAGATCTGAATTTAGGTCGCTCACAACATGTTTTGCAAACCCCAAGTCACATAATAGTCTGCAGGTAAAAAGGAAGGGCACAGCTTCAGTCACAGCTGGCATCTTGACTTTTTTGATCCCCTCCCGGATACCTCTGGCCAAATGAAAGCCAACATGGGCACTTCCAGGAGCTTCTACTTGCTTTACAGGATGCATTTGCTGAATTCCAAACTAGGTAACCTCTTTTCAGTCTAGTGGATTGTGTGAGTCCGGCCCATATAATTCAGTGCAAACTCAGAAAATTGGGCTGAGTAAACCATGGTTAAGTTAATCATAGATAAACATGTCCTTCAAACAGAACCTTTGCTGGAGAGCAGTTTTGGATGGAAGGGTTCCTCTTCTTGGTTTCAAGATCCAGAATTCAAAAGTGGGGTTTTGACCTGCAAAGAATTCAGCTGTTGAATCACAGTCTGCATCCTGCTTGTGATCTCTTTTTGGGTTCATAATAAAGCTTACCCAATATTTTGGGGTTCATTCATCATTGAACAGTGTGTTCAATAACCTATCCTTCCCCCTTTGATGCCTCTATTCTTCTCATTTTAATTTAAGTTTTGATTGTTTATGTTTTCTCATTATTCTGGTGCTGTATGCTCCAGAGTGCTTCAAGATTGGAGGAGGTACTAAGTAGATTAAAAAGCAAATAGACTTTCTAATGCATTCAAAAGACATTTCCAGGAATTGTTATTACAACTGCTAAGTATAATAAATAAAGTCCTCAATTTTGACTGAAGATTTCTGAGTTGCTGTGTGGTTTCAGACCCAAACCTAATTATTCTATCCCCTTGCTCCACTTCTGGAATTTTACTGGAAGTCCAAAAGATGTTGATTTGTATTTATAACCCTCCCATCTTTTCTTTTCTTTTTCTTACTTTTTATTCCTAAGAATAAAATGATGTTTGCAGCTACTCTGGTGCTGTCCTTAACCATCCACTGACAATACAAGGAACTGTCTGCCTGAAAGCACTTACTGTAACAAATGTCAGATGTACTAAATGTTTTGCAATAACATGTTGCAGAGAATCCACCTCTCTTAAGAAGTCTGCTTCTGTTCAGCAGCCAAACCATTCAGACAGACTTTCTCTGGAATATTATAAATACTATAAATCAAGAACAAAAACCCTTTTCACAAAAATCTCTTGCAAAAACCCAGGTGTCCATCCTCCCCTCCCCCCCCCCACCCCCCGCAATTGTCTGCAACAAGGCAATGCCTGTTTTGTGGTAGTTCTGTAGAATTTTGTATGTTGGGGTTTCCCCAAATACATTTTTTAATTTTTTCAAGCCAGTTGTGTAGAGGAGAGAGTTAAAGAAGTGTTTGTGATTAAAAATGAAAATGAAAGCTATCTACCAACTCAAGCAGGGGGGGATGGGGATAATTTCATGGAATAAATATGCAGAAAAACTGTACTGGGCAGCCAAAAATAAATGGGTAATTGTATGGTTTAATAAAGTCTAGATCACAGTTTTTTGGAACACACTGATCCATCCTAGTTCAGAGAAATGGCAAACAGGAAGCGAAACCTAGCTAATCACTAATGCAGAGCGCTTAGGAGAAATTCCTTAAAACCCAAAGGAGAGAAATACTCACAGATTTGAGGTCAAGGTTAGCCAGAAAACAAGGTGACAAGCAAGAAAATCAGACCCTGCTTCGCCCTGAGTCAAGCTATCAGTCGCTCTAGCCCACCTGTTGCTCCTGGAGGAAGAGACTCTTCCAGATGGATGGACTTCAGTGCCCAGAAATTCTCACCCAGACTCAAGGAATTCTGGGAGCTGAAGTCCACAGAGTTGGAAAAGGCTGGACTACATTCCAGCAGGAGAATTCAAAGACCGAATCGGAAATCCTCTGCACACAAATGGAGTACTACCCTGGCCTGTGGCTGGCTCTGTGAACTTGCAGCCTGCAGCCCAAGGCCATAGATTAGCCATCAATTTTTTTTCACTACTCTATGCCTGAGTCCTCTCTAACTGCAGGATTGAAAGTCAATTTCTCACCATAAATATCTAAAAAAACCCTGACATAGACAATATGAAATTTGGAGACCCTGGCAGCAAGACACCTCTAGCCCTGTCCCACGGTATCACCCAATCCCCAGCCCTGCCTGATCTGGATTTCTTTCTAAATGTGGCTTCTTTTAATTACAAATAAATGAATGGGGAACTAGCATGTTGCTGTAATGGAATGTGGGAAAGACCTTGGGAGACTGGGCCAAGAGACGCTGCCAAGGGAATGGTCAGATAAGAGGCAGCATAGCCCGCAGTTAGATAGTGGACTGGGCAAGAGGCTCAGAAAAGACCCTCCCTAGTTTCTTGGGCTGTAAAGGATATGGGGGGGGGAGAATTGTACTTTCAAACTTGCAAGATTCTGTCAGTGTAACTCTGCAATACAGGTAGTCCCTGGGTTAGGAACGCCCAGAGGACACATAGTTAAGAACAGAGCCTATTGTAGCAAAATTTGAGTTATATACACAATGATTCAAGTTAAGTACACAGTAGTCTGAGTTAATTACACAATACTATGTATACAGTATTATACTGTTCCAGCTTACATACAAATTTGACTTAAGGACAGATCTCGGGAACGGAACTCGTTCTTAAACTGGGGATTACCTGTAAAGTGGAATTTGCTCATCTGGTTGTGATTCCCATCTGGTTTACCCCGCAAGGCCGACAGTTGCAAAGCAAACCTTTACCAGATCCCTGCTGACTATTTCCATGAATGCTTCTCTGGTTCAGATATGGTTCTCACAGGCATTTTAAAAAATGGTGAGTGTCTGCAGTCTAAGGCTCTGTTTATTTATGTCCTTGTTCGTTCTTTGTTTACATGTTTCAAGCATTTATAAATCCACTCAACTCAAAGAATGTGATTCTGGGCCAAAAGCAAGCACACATCACTTAGAAGTAACCCAATATATGCAACGACAAAGTGAACAGGACAATTCACGAGGGGAAGAAGCCAGCTCTAAAGGCAATCAGAGTTGGGATCTGTTGTATATCAGGGAGAGACTGTTCCAGAGAACAGGGCAGCCACTGAAAAGAGACTGTGCCCAGACAAAGATTAGCCAGGGTAACGTAGAGAACAAACTGGAAGCCAGATGGGGCAGTCAATGTTGATTGACTGACCACACTCACCATGGATTCCATTTTGGTTAATTCTCCTTCCATTTTGGAAAAGTGCTTTCTACACATCTTCCTTCCAAACTCCAGATGCGCCCAAAAAGAGGTGCTGACTCCCTTAGTAAGACCAAAGGTTATGTGTGAAACTTTAAAACAAGGAAAACAGACAAACGAATCTGCATACCTTTGACAAAGTTGAGAGTAAGTGTTTGCTGAAATCAGGTTTTTACTGTATGGCCTGGCTTGAGGCAGTACAGAATGACTGAGTCATAATCTCATTGCCACAAGCTTCAGAAGTTTACACTCCCACTGTTTCTGGTGGAAAAACCCATTTAGGCAGAATTCTCTCCCTGATTTCCAGAGAATAAGACCAGCCCTCTGAGACAACAAGAAGGTCACCTGGGCT